GGTTCAGAAACTTGTGTAGTTGGAATCAAGCTTGTATGACCTGGTACATTTGGTTGATTTTAATGCAAGAAGGCTCCATATGGGTGGCTTGGATTAATAGGTATAAACTGAAAGGTAAAATATTATGAACATACACATGTTCACATGACTCTTGGAATTGGCGTAAACTGTTAAAGTTAAGGAACATAGTGGAATTGTTTATCTCGTCTAGAGGGTGGCTTCTTCTGCTGAATGACTCTCATATGCTTTGTTTCTCTATTAAACGAGTTTAGAATCTAATTCTTCCTACTCAGCCTCAGTGGTGGAAGCTTATTTGGAAAGGCAAAGTCATTTCAAGAAATCGGGTATTAACATGGCTGGTGGTACGAGGCAGTATCAATACAAAGGTAAAAATGCATAATTGGGGATTCGTGGGGAGTTTGGCTTGTTGTTTGTGTTGCACAGAGGTTGAGGACAAAGACCACTTGTATGTGCACTGCCCATTCTCGAGGCAACTTTTTGATTCTCTCTTTGGCAGATTTCTGCAACTCCCTGTGTTGCAGAACTGGAAAGATGAGCTTGCTTGGGTAATTCCAAGGTTGGGTGCTTCAACGGAGGCTGTTGAAACAGCGAGGCTTGTTTGGTAAGCGAGGGTGAGCCATATCTTACGTGAGAGGTGTCGTCGCTTGTATGAAGGGGAGGCTAATAAACTTCTTATTCTACTGAAGTTGATCATGGTAGAGGTCGAATGTGTGCTGGGCAGTCAACGTGTTAGTCGTTTCTGGGTTTGGTGAGTTGTGTCTCAGGGGTTGTAGTAGTAGTAGTAGAACTATTTTGTAGTCTCTTTGTTTCTCCACCTTTTGGTTGGTATGAGCCTAGCTAGCAAGGCAATTGCTAGCGCCACTTCTTTTATGAATAAGAAACCCATCGATTCATAAAAAAAGGCAAGTGGAATATTATTAATAAATACTTGAAAGGTATAATCTGCTAGAGACCAATCAAGAAGAAATCAATAAACGTCCAGGTGGCTTCCACGTCATTTATATTAATGTATAAAAAATTAAAACAACAAATAAAATTTAAAACAACAATTTGAAATTAAAAAATAAAACTTTAAATATTAAAAACAAAAAAATCCAAGGAAAGTGAGAATCGGGGTGTGTATCTACTATAAAAGACAGAATCCGCTTAAGATAACCACGCCTCTGCTACGCATTTGGGATTGTTGGATGAGGAATGGTAGAGGAGTGGCAATGACGTGTTGATTGTCGGAGGACTGAGATGAAGTCGCTACAACTATGATTTTTTCTTCTTCTTCTTCTTCGCGAATAGGAAAGTGATCCTCTTAATCCCTTGTCATTTGCTATCACCCGAAATGACATGCCTACCCGAATTCGTCAGACTCTACCCTTTGTTGTTGGTTTCAATTTCGATGACTGAAATTCAGATTTCAAGTTGATGAACCTAGAGTCATCGACAAAGGTCGTGAGATTAATTGCCTTCTCGGAGTGAGAAACCCCCCAAGTGATTGAATAATCCCTCTTCTGATTCCCCATCAAGCTTCAAACAACTCAAACACATACATTTATGGCCCCGTCGCCGGCCCCGCCATATAGACATGGCGATATGTAGACCCATTGGGTAATTTTACCCAAATGTCATTACCTATATGGGTATGGGTAGGACCCAAATGGACCAATATGCACTTTAGGTATGGGTTGGATTTGAATTGAATTGGGTCCTATTTGGGTCGATAATTTGGGTTATACCTAAATGGGTCTAGATGATTACATACACAAAAAACAATATCAACCATTCATTAACTACTTTCAACTCAATTGTACACATTTAATGTAGGTATTTCGATCTCTTAATATTTTTCATAACAAAAAAAGACCAAAATTGCATTATACTTGGTTACCCATTTTCTTTTGAATTTCCAATATTATGGGTCCAATTTAGACACCAATTAAAAAATTGGTTATGAGTATGCCCAAAAAACAAAAGGGAAAATACCACTACAACACCCGAACTATCGATAAAATGCCACTTGTATCTTATTCTTTTCAATATTCCACTTCTATCCTGAACTCTTTTTTCGTTAGTTTTGACCAGCGTTGACCGTTAGTATTTAACAAAAAGTACAATCAGTGCTAATGTGTCAATTGACATGGAATTTTAAATTCAATATTCATTTATTTTTATATATCACTTGAAAAAAATAATTGAAATAAAAAAAATCAAATTTCACTACCCACCCCGTCTCGTCTCCTGTCCCTCTGGTGTCCACGAACCTGTCGCAAGAGACCCAACGTCCGGTCTCCGACGAGCTAGTCTCAATAAACATAGTCTATCATTTCTGACGAACCGCCGCAACAGCTCCACTCGCTCATTTCCAACGATCTCGCTACAATTGCAGAGCCGATTCACAGATCCACCTTCAACTCACACTGAAATGAACATCGCCACTACGCCTATAAGAGGTTAAAATGTTTAACTATCCCTTTCCCAACAACTCGAGTTATTGGGACCAAGTGTTTAGTTCGCTAACATGGTATCAGAGCCTAGAACCGAAAGGTCATGGTTTTTAATCCTCATAACGATCCCCATTTCATGCCAATTCGTTTAGCACAAGGAATGGCATGTCCAACCTGTGCAAACTAAGCCTCGTGATATGGCAGCACTAGGGTTCAACCTGTGCAAACCGTAAAAATCCACAATTCGGCATCGGATTTCGTTTGAGGGGGTGTATAAGAGATTAAAAGGTTTAACTATCCCTTTCCCAACAACTCGAGTAATTGGCACCAAGTAATTAGTTCGCTAACACGAGAGAGTAAAATGCAGAAGAAGAAGGACAACCCTCGTAAGAGCCGATTCAAAGATCCATAGATTTCCCCATAAAACCAGACCAACAATATTGTCGTCTCTGCATCCTTCCCTCCGCTAGTTTGCTTGCAGCTGCCCATTTAATTCCAAAAATCGATGGACCTGAATAGGGGAATGGGTTTCACCGACGATGGCGACGCGGTGCTGGAGGGTTAGAAAAGTCGTGGTTGGGGGTTGTTGCGATTTGGGGCTAGGGTAGGGGACAACGGCTTTTGTTTTCTTCTTTTGGGCGTCGGTGGCGGCAGGGGAGAGTAGATGAGAGTGGATAAAGATGGATTTCCCTTCACCGATCCTTAACTCTCTCTTTCTATATCGCCTCCCTCTACCACAACGAAAAACCCAAATCGTGACCCTCTGTTGTGCCCGTTTCTGCCCAGAAAATCCCTAAATCCAGATCTCCCAACCAGAGCCATCGAGGAAGAAATCGAGAGAAGAGTACCCACTTACCCACCATCATCGTTGTCTCCCAAATCTGAGTCGCACTTGTATCAGTCCGGCGAGTCGTCGATATCTTGAAAAGAAGACAAAGACGTTGCTCTAGTCAACTCTAGCTGTGAGGAAACCTAGCGTCGCCGTCGAGCATTGGTCGATCTTTGACGATTTGGGGACTAGGGTTTGGAAATTGAAAAGGAAGATGAGGGAGAAGAAGAGGGAAATGGTGACGGTTACGCAGACGGAGAGTTGTATCTGTGGTGGCTGTCGATTAGTCTCCGACTGCGAGAATAAACGACAGGGATGAGTGGAGAACGATGGAGATGAATGGTTATTTTCTTTTTTTTTTTTATTTTAATAATTTTCTAGTAATACATTTATAATAATATTTAATTAAAATATCTGATATGTTGATGATGTGACATTGAGATGGAAGTCCAATTTTTGTCACGTTAGCAAAAAGTCAACATTATTTTGACTATTGTATGGTCAACTGTTATTTTTAACGGTCAAAGAAAATGTTAGGATACAAATGACACAAAACTATCATAGAACATGATATGAATAGAATTGAAAAAAAAAAAAGACATAACTGACATTTTTTGGATAGTCTGGATGTTATTGTGGTATTGGGCTATTTGAAAGTTCAGTCCAAAAGTGTCAATTATGTCAAACTTGAGGCCAAATTAGATTGTTATCCCTTTGCTATTTCTCATATACTTCCTGATATATATGGTTGACACATGCGTTCCCCTATAATTTTAAAAAATGATAAACATACCTTTAACTTTAAAAATAAGCATTAATCTATGGCAAAAAAAAGCATCAATTACGGTCAACGTCTTTAAGAGAAAAAAGTTAGTAAAAGAAAAATATTCTATTGGCAGAGATTAACTTTAGCACCATACTAAAAAAATTAAGTACGAGTACTCTAACCTAATCCGGGTGAGCACCCTAACCTTGGCCGGCTTTACCTCACCACCATGGTTGTCAAACCGGTTTCATGTCGGCCGGTTCGCCCGAGTACAACTGGTACTAGTCACCAAACCGGCTAGAAATGGGTATTTAAGTATGGTCAAATCTGGTCAATGTTAGTCAGATCCGGTCAATTTCGGAAATTTCGGCCGGACAGACCAGAAACCGGAATTTTATGTTACACACATTTTTTTATAGGTATGTTACACACATTATATCCAAAAATAAATATCTTCCATAAGATTTAAACCAAGTACCTCATGATCATTTTAGTTTCACTAACACCAATAGGCTACAAGCAACTTTGTTGTATACATTAACCTTATATATTGCCTATCTAATACTAAATTTTACACAAATCATTATAAACATTAATAAAATTCATTTTATATACTTTTATTTTTAAGCATCTAATTCTTTAGTATTAGTTACCAATTCTTAGCTATAAATTATTTTGTGTGAAATAATTCTTCTAATTGCTTTTTCATGACTAATTTATTTGGAATTGAGAATTTCCATTTTTTTCATCTATTTTATTAAAACCGGCATAACCGGCACGAATACTAATTATACCACGGTCGGACCATTTCACTTGTAAAACCGACACACCGACATAAACCGGTTTGACAACCTTACGATCACCATGTTTGAAGGGTATGAAAAAAACCCAAGTACCAGAGTGCCCAAACCAAATTCTTTTATTATTTAAATAAACAAAGAAATCTCAGGGTTGATTGGGAATATGCCAAAATGATGATTGGTGGTGATGAATCAGAAGTTCGTACCTGGTTCACAGCTAGCAAGAAGAAAAACAACGGGTCGAGAAAAATGGCCAACAGGCACGAAACGACAAAAAACTTCTTCAACCGCTGAACATTTTCCGCATGAGGATTCACGACCAGGGGATTCAAACTCAAGAAAAATGGCTCATCTCCACTCCCATAATCATCATCCACCGCAGCTTCATCTGGCATTTGTGAATTCTCACCTGAGATAATTGACATCACCACCTCGGCTCTGCCATCATTAGCCATATATATATATCTCTCTCTCTACCTGTTGTGGGAAAAGAACATTGAACAGGAATCAGTACTCGACCAACAAACAAGTTGCACTTGCAAGCATAAATAGGACTACAGCACCACAGCTAGCTATAGCTATTGACTAAACAAAGTGGTTCAGGAAAATATATATATAATCGTTACAGCTGTTGACTGAAAAGAACCACCTGAGCTCCAAACTGCAACTCACTTCTTGGGCAGCATGCATTCAGTTACTTTCAGGCTCAACATATCATGAGCTAGCTAATTCCACCTCAACGGAACAGGGTTGGATGGTCTGCCCAAAATTTGACTTTGGTTTATAAGTCATAACTAAACCGCTGACGGAAGTGGATTATAATGTAACAATTTAACATTAGGAGATTAGTACGGTAATTTAATTTATAATTTCAAAAAAACCAAACCCGTAATTACACTGACTTTTAAGATCGTACGCACGCCAAAGATTAGTGGGTATACGACATACACCATTTTTTGTCTGCTGTATGATAGACATCACTATATATATATAGGATTTTAATATATAAATTATATATGGAGTCCATTTATGATTAAAGATAAATCATTTATTGTAAACCATAAAACACTCATTTATGGATGATTCCAAATAAATTTTAGAATTTTCAGAATATTTCAAATTTCAAATATTATATACAAATAAAATCATTACCTAAAAAATTTATATATTATTATGAAAGTATATATGTGGATGCTAATTGACTCCACTTCCCAACTGCCATCTCCTCCTCATGGTTACTGATGGCACTGGATCCCAATGCTCCATTGCCTATAAAAGGCAATACCTACAGAAGTAGAAGACACATCAATTCACTTCTCTTCTTCCTCACTTCTCTATGTATTTCATCTTGGTTCAATATAATCAATCTACGAAAGTATGGAATAAAAGCGGTGTTACTCCATCTCTTCTATTTCGTGTTAATGGTGTTGCTTATTTCCATCATGGGGATAATTATTTATAACATATATCTTATATACTATTTTAATTTTATGGACTTATAACTAAATAATTAGACCTAAAACTTACAGCCACGAATCTATTTCTAGTAAGAAATAAACCACATTATAGCTACAAGAAGATTATTGGCAAATCAATAATTGAAATTAACTTATTTGTAAGATATGTTTTCACTTATTACTTTGTAGCTAATAGTTAGATACAACCGCCTATTTTCCCTTTTACGAAACAAAATAATTTCACACTTTTGCTTCATCAACTTCCCTTCTGTAGCAATCATCTCTTAGCTTTTAATTTGGCTACAATATATTGTATTTACAGCTAAATATTCGGAGTATAGCAATGAAGAGTAAAAATTTTAGCTGGGCCACTTTTAGCTACAAACTAATTTACTCGTAACTAAAAGATTTATGAGAAGATTGTTGCCGTGCAGTTCATGGTGTAATACTGAATTCGAACCTGGACCAAGAAACTAAATAACTGAAATATCCTCCACTAGTCCAAGAAAGAAACCAGTGTTGCCGTGCAGTTCAGGTGAAAGCGTGAAAACGAGAATTCAAACAAGACCAGAAGCTGAGCATTTCGAGACTCTCACGCTGTCACCACGACTCGATAGCTAACGAACAGAGAATTTTGATCCTCCATTGGCGGCCGGAAGAATTATGCGCTGGCAGGATAAAATTAGAATCGCAGAATTGAAATTTCCTCAAGAAAATGAGAAAGAAGATGAAGAGGAACCTGAACGAGCTGCTGCAGGTCAAGGTGCAGGAACAATGGGGGATGAAAGCGGAGAGACGAGCACAAGGAAGGGGTAGTGAAAGAAAGGTCTAGCGAAAGCTCTGATTCATACTTTGTGGAAACTTGGATGGTGAATTAATGGTGATCAGGTGATGTTGGTTTTATGATGATGATGATGAGAATGGAGCAGAGTGAGAGAGATTGGACTGACAGCCAGGGAGCTTCTGCGCAGTGCTACTAATAAATGCGGCGACAGACAGGGAGCTATTACGCAGTAGTACTTCTAATAAATGCCTCATGCCTAGTAAGCAGGCCGTACCGGCAATTCGATCGTAAAAATATCTGACAGAACGATAAATTCGTAGGCAATTTTTTAACGGTAGAAATGGCTAAATCATGCTTTCAGCACAAAATATCATATTTTTTAACCTTTTTGATACAACTCCTGATACGGACTCTCACTTTTTGCTTATTAGCGGAAGAATTATATTTTCTTTATGGTCACCCCGAATTCTGTTGTCTGTACGTGGGATGAGGCTACTAGGAGTGAGTCCCACTCGGCAGGTGGAAATGATATTAAGGAAGGCAGAACCTCTTGACTAGAAGAGTGCAGTTAGGATGTTGAAATAGTTATTATGATAATTATAAAATCATTTAAGGTTAAATTTGATTATCTATGATTAAAATACCATACAGTATCAATTATCTTAATACTATCAATTAATATGATTATATTAATACTATCAATTAATATGATTATACTAACATCACCAGCTTTGTTTGAACCAAGGATTAAAATACCGTACCGTACCGGCGGTTCGACCGAAAAAACCTCCTACCAGAAGTAAAACCGGTAAACGGTACTTAGCAGTATAATACAGTTGAACCATAGTTAAACCACGATCTTAACATAAAATACCCTACTGCTGACTTTTCCGGTACGACCTCCGATACGATATTTCAATCCTTGGTTTGAACACACTATCCGGACCGGAGCAGCTAAATAATCTTTGTGTAAGCAAGGCTGGCATTTAGCCAACAATGATTTGGTCGCCTCCTCATTATTGCAATTGTTTTTAGAATTGCATTTGTACTTTTTATTGCCACTTCAACTTTTTCAATCAAATTCACATTACTTTCATTCACCTATATCAATGTAATTAATTTGTGATGGTATATGTGAGTCCAATTATTTAAAAAGGAAAAAAAATCTAATAAAAAGTGATGGATGTCCAGTGACGGAGCTAGAAATATGAACGAGTGAGATCGATATTATTTCAACATACTTCAATACATAGAGGTGGACTATGCTTCAATATATATACCAGCCAAACCCTAACTCCCAAAAACCCCAAACCTCTACTCCAAGATTAATATATGTTTTAATACACATACTTCTAAAAGCCTCCCGCAAACTGATAATGTTCTTGCAACATCAATTTGTGTGCAAGAAACCAATGACGAGTCGATGAAACCTCCTTGGTTAGGAGATATGTCGTGTGATTTTCTGAAGTAAGATACAAAAGCTTTACACAGTCAAGAACCAGTTGCTCCCAATAACTCGAGTTCCTGAAAAAGGTTAAATAATGAATCTTACACCACTCACTAACCACTTACACCTACCTACTTCTCATTTCGATCTCTCTCTTTTTTTTCACACAAAGGGGTTTGGCATATGCTTATATTCACATTTCCCTCCAAAATTGCAGGTTTACTATTCAAAATTCCTCAAATACCCTAATATTTAACTAAATTCCCGATCTATCCAACATTGAGCAAAAACACTTGCGCGTTTATAATAATTACAAAAACGTTTTCATTTTCAAAACGCATAAGCCGAAGCATTTCAATGCAAAATCGCTTCGACTAAAGGTCGTTTGCTTGTAGGATTTTGATGAGTGATTTTGTTTCAAAATTTCATATGGGTTAGATTATGCTCCAAATCCATGTTTGTTGATAAAAATGAAGTTGGCCTAAATTTGTGGGCCCACAAATGTGAAATTTTCTTTTGCTCAAAATCCGTGGACCCCACGGATTATAAAATCTCACCTAAGATTTTGATAAGTGCCAAAATCCATGAACCCACTAATTTGAAATGACCAAAGTATCCTTAACAAATTAAACTAAAATACTTTATTAAGGATAAGAAGAATGGATAGGAATGTAAACTCATCAATTAACCCATAAATTCAATATAGTAAAATCCATTTTGAAATCAAACAAACAAAAATGCAATTTCTAAAATCCAACATGTACCCAAAAGGCCAAAATAGCAAAATTCAACATAATGCTTCAATTTCAAAATCCAAGATTTTACCTTTTCCTTCATTTTTTAAAATTCAACAAGCAATAAAAGCTTTTTCTTCAAGCCAAGTTGTCAACCCGCGGGCTGACCCGGACCCGGTCGAATTAGTGGATCAAGGGTTAATGGGTCACCCGTTTTAGCCCGGTTTATCCCGGGAATATGGAAAGAGTCATTATATTGTACTTATTCTCATAAATTATACCAAATCTCATCTAACATATGAGTTATAACATATAATATTACACCAAAATAGCATGTCATACTTAGATTCAACATATAGTGAAAATTCACATACACTTATATAACATCAATATTCAAATGTTTAACTTAAGATTCCAAAGATTGAGTTAGGCGAAAGAAAAATCTGAAAATAGGCGCATTTCGCAAACCAAAGACAAAAATTACACAATATGACCTCCAACCCAATACCTTGTAGCGGTCGATCCGGCGGGTGCGTGCGGCCCGTTTTTCTCACTGGATCAGGGTCAAAGTGGGTCGACCCATGAATCGACCCGCGGGTTGACAACTTTGGTTCAAGCACATGTACCTTGACCAGTTGAAAGCCAAACAGTGGCTATGTGCAGTGACCAGTTGGAAGCAATTGTTCCATGCAAGACACTGGCTGACTGGCAAGTGACAAGGGTACGACGGTCGTTGAAGAAATAAGTGCAAATAATGAATGAATGGTGATATGCTAGGCACCACTCGTTCCAGCAAGATGCGAAACGAGCAACTCCAAAAGCTATAGCTTGCCGGTTTCGTGATTGGTCATGATTCATGAATCACTCCAAAAGCTATAGCTTGCCGGTTTCGTGATTGGTCATGATTCATGAATCAATGATACACTGAACAGCTTTCCTAAACCTCTGTTTCCGAAGGATGGACAACCTGAGCGAGGGAAAATGTGGAGAAAGTTGTGGGTCCATCATTATTTTTCTTGTTCTTTTAGCTCCCATCATTCATCACTATTGTGGGGGAAAATTGGGAGGGAGAATTTACTATTCAAGTGTGTTATATTATTTTACGCAAGAGAGTTATATGAGATGTAAAAGTGTGTTATGTTTTTAGTAAAAATAAAATTAAAATGTGAAATTTTTATAAAATGAATGTTATCATGTACAACAAAAGTAATTCAATTTCTATGAAATTTTTTTAAATTGAGTTAAAATGAATAAAATTTTAAATAGTAGAAAAACATTAATAGTAAACGAAATTAGCAAGAAAATAAAAAAAATTAATCCACTATTCGTTAAGTAATAAAATAATGTCAACACATACTTCAATTATTTACCATTACATAACTAATAACATATCTATCACACTTCCCAATATATTTTTTTCACTTTCCTCGGTAAAACAACATTTTCCCTTTGTTCTAAATATTTCGTCCTCTCATTCTCTTTCCTTCCTTTGGAACAGGGGGTAAGTCACAACTGACCTTTTTTTAAAATTCAATGGGCAATGCCTCGTGAATCTGATTAAAAGGCCAACTGGCCTTGTTCGAACCAGATAAGACATAATGTACATATGAGCCGCTTCTCTCTAAATTCTACATTCATTTGGGAGTGTAAGAGTATGATCTAGGATGTGCACTAACTTATTGGCTTCGCGTGGGGCAAATCTCCAAATCCTACCATCTTGCTCATCTGCAGCCTACCTTATATTGCATCATAGAACATCCGTCTCTGACAGATCCATAGCATCATCATTTAATTTTTTTTAATCAGAGTTTGGCAGCCTCTCTATTATGTAAGGGCCTAACTGAGCTTCCTTCATCTTTTCAATAGTAAATGGTATTGCTTTCACCTCCACTGCTCCAAGGGGCCTTCAAACTTAAGATCTTCTTGCTGCTGCAATAACAAAGTTCCCTTCCCAACCTCGGGCAATCATCCCCATACCCATTCGAGGTTGGTTTAGGGAGCCAACATCTATGTTACCCTTTAGGCACCCCATGGTAGAGGGATCCACTTTGTATCTTGTCTTAACTGTTAGAGTGGTGCTCTGTCATTTTTGTTGTTGGATATTAATCACTTCGATCCGTGCAGATGATTGGCAATGGTTAGCATGTGTCAACAACTAACCCGTCTGAAGCCAAGTTTAACCTAAGATGGCATTGTCGTATAGTGGTAATCAGGGTCATATTTTACTCGCGTCCTGGTACCCTAACCTACTTCCTACGTAGTTGCTAATTAGTTAATTGGTTTCGGAGGTTTGAGTGGAGGACTTGAAGAGACAATTAGACTAGAGATTGATCAAAGCTAACTTTCTCTTTATTCCTTGTCGGAAAAGGAGAGAGACGACGCCGCTTAGAGACAAGCGGCATCGCGGACGTGTAAAAAGGCACCGCGAGTAAGCCAACGACACCGCGAATTAGAAAACGACACTGCAAGGAAGTTCGCCGTCACCGCGGTACTTGAAGCGACATTGTCTACTAGAAAACAATGTGTGAGTGCCGTAAGAGTTGTGTTGTTGTTGGAAAAGGGGTGCTTTTCTTTTATCCCTTGTCGAAGGAGGAGAGAAACAGCACCTTCTGGAGTCAAACAATGTCGTGAAGAGATAAAACGATGTCGCAAAACTCAAAGCTCAACGACATCGCGAGACTGGGAAACGGTATTGTTTGGCTAAAAAACGATATCGCGAGAAGCCTTCGTAAGCAATGTCGTTTAGTTAAAAACTGTATCGGGTAAGTGCTTGGTCCAAAATCCGCCAAGTCCAACGCGAGTTCAAAGTCGCCCCGGTTTAACAAATTGATATTTTTTTATTATTTTGGACGGTGTCGTTTAGTTAAAAACGATACCGCGAGTAAG